TGGCCTAAATTTTGAATAAAAAAAAAAAAAAATGAAACTTGGTTGTGTATATGAAATATAACAGTGTGATAGAAGTAACATCCACAGATTTTAAGGGAAGTATGTGGGAGGGACTTCCAAACAGTAAATAATTATTGAAGGATGTTATAGAGTTAAAGCTGGAAGCTAAAGCACCTTGACAATTGTACTGATCCCCATGAGTATTATTAGAATACAGCCAAGCATGCGCAATATACCAAACCAATATAAACAAGAGGCCCAAGGGCCTTAGCAGTCACCTGAGTAATATCATAGGTACTGGTAGCTTTATTTTATTGTTTAGATGTGATGTGGAAATCAGCATGTAAACTAAGTGAAATACAATACTTGTCATGTCATCAAAGGATAAGAATTTGAAAATATTGGTAAATGTTCCCTTTGGGGCCCCGCCCTAGCCCCTGGGGATGGGGCAGGAATCCCAATTTTACAAAGTAATACTCTCATTCACCAAAGATGATTCTGACAAAGTTTGAGTAATTTTCTGCTGAAAATGGATAAAAAATATATCCAAAAGAGTTATTTCCCTATATAAACTATAGTAAACTTTACCCCCTCCCCAAGGGGGAACGGATAGCTCGGGGGTTCTGAAATTTACAATTTAAATAAAGCCCCTGAAGATTTTCTTTTCATGCAGAGAAAATGAATGTAGTACACTGAGTCTGGAGGAGAAAAATTTGGAAATATTAGTTTAATTTTCCCTTTGAGGCCCCGCCCTGGCCCCAGGGGTTGGGGTAGGAATCTCAATTTCACAATTTGAAACAATCTTCCTCCAAGGATAATTCTCACTAAGTAAAAATAATTTCCTACAGAAAGTTGTCAAAATATACCCAAAAGTGTTATTTCCCTATATAAACTATAGTAAACTTTACCCCCTCCCCAAGGGATAACGGATAGCTCGGGGGTCCTGAAATTTACAATTTAAGTAAAGCCCCTGATGATCTTTCTTTTCATGTAGAGAAAATGAATGTAGTACACTGAGTCTGGAGAAGATTTTTGAAATATTGGTTAATTTTCCCTTTGAGGCCCTGCCCTGGCCCCAGGGGTTGGGGTAGGAATCTCAATTTTACAATTTGAAACCATCTTCCTCCAAGGATAATTCTCACCAAGTAAAAATAATTTCCTACAGAAAGTTGTCAAAATATACCCAAAAGTGTTATTTCCCTATATAAACTATCGTAAACTTTACCCCCTGCCCAAGGGAGAACGGATAGCTCGGGGGTCCTGAAATTTACAATTTAAGTAAAGCCCCTGATGATCTTTCTTTCCATGCAGAGAAAATGAGTGTAGTACCTCTGAGTCTGAAAAAGAAGATTTTTGAACTATTGGTTAATTTTCCTTTTGGGGCCCCGCCCTGGCCCCTGGGGTTGGGGTAGAAATCCCAATTTTACAATTTTGTAGCCTCATCTACCAAGGATGATTCTGACCAAGTTTGAAAAAATTCCATCTATTGGTTCTTGAGAAGTAGTTGAAAATGTAAAAAGTTTACGCACGATGACGGACGGAAAGCGATTAGAATAGGTCACTTGAACAAAGCTCAGGTGACCTAAAAAGACTATTCATGTAGGAGAATGATATCACTGGATATAATCATTAGTCAACAAATTATGACAAACACAATTTCAGCAGAAGTACTACACTTTTGTAAATGTTCCTGCTAACTAAACAAGAGGCCCAATGGGCCTGCATCGCTCACCTGGTATTAATCTCACACTTGTAATCTTAAAAGTGGACTAAAATACAGCTACAGGCAGAATATCAGTGTTTGATTCATAAGAACCTATTTAAGGATTTAAACATATGACGCCTGTGACCTTGAATGTCGAACATGGACATTAGGTTGAACAGAGTTTATAGTCTTCCAACACAGCATGCATCTGGCAAAATATCATTACCCTGGACCTTTTGGTTATATAGAACAAATCATTCAAAGATTTAAACATATATTGACCACTGTGACCTTGAATATGGGTGAAGGTCATTCACTTGGTAGTCCTTTATCCCAGCATGTTAATGGCCAAATATCATCACTCTTGGGTCTTTTGCTTATTAAGAAGAAGTCATTCAATGGTTTTAAACATATTTGACCCCTGTGACCTTGAATATATATGTCAAGGTCATTCATTTGAACAAACTTAGTAGTCCTTCATTCCAGCATGTTACTGGCATTATACTAGGCCTCTTGGTTATTCAGAAGAAGTTGTTTAAAGGTTAAAAACATATTTGACCCCTGTGACCCTGAAAAAATGAAGGTCATTCATTTGAACAAACTTTTGTAGCTCTTCATCCCAGCATGCTACTAGCCAAATATCATCACCCTAGGCCTATTGTTTTTTCAGAAGAAGTTGTTGAAAGGTTTTAAACATATTTGCCCTCTGTGACCTTGAATATAAGTCAAGGTCATTTATTTGAACAAACTTGGTAGCCCTTCATCCCAGCATGTTACTGGCCAAATATCATCATCCTATGCCTCTTGGTTATTCAGAAGAAGTTGTTTAAAGATTTTAACATATTTGACCCATGTGACCTTGAAAATGGATGAAGGTCATTCATTTGAACAAACTTGGTAGCCCTTCATCCAAGCATGTTACTGGCCAAATATCATCACCGTAGGCCTATTGGTTATTCAGAAGAAGTTGTTTAAATGTTTTAAAGATATTTGCCCTCTGTGACCTTGAATATAAGTCAAGGTCATTTCTTTGAACAAACTTGGTAGCCCTTCATCCAAGCATGTTACTGGCCAAATATCATCACTGTAGGCCTATTGGTTATTCAGAAGAAGTTGTTTAAAGATTTTAACATATATGACCCATGTGACCTTGAAATTGGATGAAGGTCATTCATTTGAACAAACTTGGTAGCCCTTCATCCCAGCATGTTCCTGGCCAAATATCATCATCCTATGCCTCTTGGTTATTCAGAAGAAGTTGTGTAAAGATTTTAACATATTTGACCCATGTGACCTTGAAAATGGATGAAGGTCGCTTATTTGAACAAACTTGGTAGCCCTTCATCAAAGCATGCTTCTGGCCATATATCATCACCCTAGGCCTTTTGGTTACTGAGAAGAAGTTGTTTAAAGTAAAAAGTTGACGCCGGACGGACGCTGGACGCCGGATGGACAACGGACGCTGCACCATGCCATAAGCTCACTTGGCCCTTTGGGCCAGGTGAGCTAAAACCATGAAAGTGTCAAACTTTGTCTAATTTAGTATACTCATCAGTTAATTACACTATATTAGGATTGTTGTCTAATTTAGTATACTCATCAGTTAATTACACTATATTAGGATTGTTGTCTAATTTAGTATACTCATCAGTTAATTACACTATATTAGGATTGTTGTCGTTACATTTGATCATAATCAGACCATTTAGCTGTAACTCTAAACCAGGGTTCTACAGCAGATATGACAAACTGTTTTTTTATTTTTTATATATTATAATGCGCACATTATACAGAACATGAATTTTGAGTAGTTTGGATGAATTTATAACATGCATGAGTTCATCTGGTTTATTACACATAGTCATGTACATGTAAGAAATGTAGGCCCATAAATAACTTTTCTAAATGTTATGAACAGTTTCCTTTAGTTTTATTTTACTATTAAAGGTACGGCCTATAAATAGCCAAACATACATGTAGGAAAGTGGCTAGATAAAATACCAGCCATCAATATTGAAGTGTGTAAACTTCTTATCTGTTCTTGTTTTTGAGAATGAGTGCAAAGTGTGGGGAGGTGAGTACACACCGCTTGTATGTTGTACATCAGATCGCTCTGTAATTTGGTATTTTCATCACTCGATTGATAACAGAAACATCTGGCAGAGTTCTTATACGTGATTGAGCGACACACCCCTCCCTTACATCTGGCACTAGTGTATAGTATTTATAATGACACTTTCCCCTAGAGGGCTTTGAACTGCCATTTAAAAGAATTATCACGATATTTAAAAAAGTATTGTAATTACATTATTGTTGTAAACAACAGAATTGCTCCAGACACCAGGCCTTTTGGCTAAATTAAGCAATAGGGTAAATAACAACGTCCTCTGGATTGTGGTTGTTAAGAAGAAATTGATTTTTAAACAGTTGACCCCTGTGACTTTGAGAGTGGGTTGAGGTCATTCAGACTTGGTATCCCTTCATCCAAGCATGTTACTAGCCAAATATCCTCACCCTATTCAGTTTTTGGAAGATTTAAACATATTTGACCCCAGTGACCTTGAATGTCAGATATGGTTATTGATTCATCCCAGCATGCCACTGGCCAGATATCATTACCCAGAGTTCTTTAGATTTTGAGAAAATGTTGTTCAAAAATTTCAATACATTTGACCCAAAATGACCTTGACAGGCGGTCAAAGTCATTTATTCATACAAACGTTGATACCCTTTACCCCAGCATGCTACTGGTAATATATATCATCCTGGACCTTTGGTTATGCAGAAGATCTTTTCTAAGATTTTATCACATTTGACCCAAGTGACCTTGAAAGTCAGGTGAGGTCATTTATCCCAGTATAATACTGCCCAAATGTTATCACACAGGGTCTTTTGGTTATTGAGAAGATGTTGTTCAAAGATTTTTTAAGCATTCAACAACAGTGACCAGTGTCGATTGACACTCCTAATCTGTTTAGAGACTACTTTTGTGTCTTTCCTTTGGTGATCATCCAACAAAGCTAAATGTCTAGCCAAGTGTTCAGTTGGGGGATGTTAAAACTAATACCTAGCCGCAATGGCACTGCGATTGCATGGCGTTGTTAAATTTCCCAGAGCGCCGTGAGATTGCAGGAAAAAAGTGTTGTTACGGCGATGCTTGCGATTCCACTGCGCGTAGATCGGCGTTCTGGATTTTTCTTGGACACCATGGGAATGTGGCCCTAGTGTGACAAGGGTTTAAGCTTTTGTGTGTCTGATGGGCTTCCGGTATACATACAAAGGTTTGACAACTTACCTTGTGCTTGTGTGTCTGACGGGTGGGGCTGGGGGCTTTTCCATCTCGTCAAACGAGTCAGACATGACGTCTTTAACTCAGGTTTACTACAAAAGAAAAACAATTACATCTATATCCATATATACAGGTCACAGAGGTTTAGTGTTTGTGTTGCATTTATCAAGTGTTTTTAAAACGGCAATCGTTAAATCAACTAATGTAACACTGAGTTAAACTCCATTTGGCTGTGAATATGTTTACAAGACCCACTTCCTGCTTGATAAGTATGTATTGTTTATCTATCAACAAAGAAGTTAAAAGTTGGAAAAGAATACAATTTACACAAATATATTCTTTTTCTAGTTCTTAACTAGTGGTGCATGAAAAATGTATGTTATGAAATAGGTGTGAAATATGAACCTTTTTATTGTATGTTTTACTCAAAATGTTAAAACTCAAGATACATGTTCAAGAAATGCTACAGCCTACATTCAGGTTACTCAGACAGAACACAAACCATGGTACCTCATAGACAGTGACCACTGTACCTCAGACACAGACAATAACCATGGTAACTCAGACATTAACCATGGTACCTCAGACAATAACCATGGTACCTCATAGACAGTAACCATGGTACCTCAGACAGTAACCATGGTACCTCGACAGTAACCATGGTACCTCAGACAGTAACCATGGTACCTCAGACAGTAACCATGGTACCTCAGAGACAGTAACCATGGCACCACAGACAATAACCATGGTACCTCAGACAGTAACCATGGTACCTCCGACAATAACCATGGTACCTCAGAGACAGTAACCATGGTACCACAGACAATAACCATGGTACCTCAGACAGTAACCATGGTACCTCAGACAGTAATCATGGTATCTCAGACAGTGACCATGGTACCTCAGATAGTGACCATGGTACCTCAGACAGTGACCATGGTACCTCAGACAGTAACCATGGTACCTCAGACAGTAACCACGGTACCTCAGACAGTGACTACAGTCCCTCAGACAGTGACTACAGTCCCTCAGACAGTGACCACGGTACCTCAGATAGTGACCACAGTACCGCAGAGAGTAACCACAGTACCTCAGACAGTAACCATGGTACCTAAGACAGTGACCACGGTACCTCATAGACAGTAACCATGGTACCTCAGACAGTAACCATGGTACCTCAGACAGTAACCATGGTACCTCAGACAGTAACAACAGTACCACATACAATAACCATGGTACCTCAGACAGTAACCATGGTACCTCAGACAGTAACAACAATATCGCAGAGAGTTACAACAGTACCTCAGACAGTGACCACGGTACCTCAGACAGTAACCATGGTACCTCAGACAGTGACCACGGTACCTCAGACAGTAACTATGGTACCTCAGACAGTAACTATGGTACCTCAGACAGTAACCACAGTATCGCAGAGAGTTACAACAGTACCTCAGACAGTGACCACGGTACCTCAGACAGTAACCATGGTACCTTAGACAGTGACCACGGTACCTCAGAGACAGTAACCCTGGTACCTCAGACAGTAACCATGGTACCTCGACAGTAACCATGGTACCTCAGGCAGTAACCATGGTACCTCGACAGTAACCATAGTACCTCAGGCAGTAACCATGGTACCTCAGACAGTAACCATAGTACCTCAGGCAGTAACCATGGTACCTCGACAGTAACCATAGTACCTCAGGCAGTAACCAAGGTACCTCAGACAGTAACCATGGTATCCCAGACAGTAACCATGGTACCTCAGATAGTGACCATGGTACCTCAGAGACAGTGACCATGGTATCGCAGACAGGAACCACTACCTTAGACAGTTATCATAATAAATTAGACAGAATAACCATGGCATATGAGTAACTAACCAGGGAACTTGAGACAGTAAGTATCCACTGTACCTCAGACAGTATAACAATGGTACATCAGACAGTAAACATGGTAACTCAGTCAGTAACTTAATGACTCCTAGTATCTCTGGGCAGGTATATATATCTTAGCATTAAAAGGGAATGCTGAATTGTTTATATTTTGATAAAGAATTTCTTGTCATATTTTGTACTATTTAACTTTAATATCTAATGTTTTAGTAAAACAAAATGCCATCAATATTAATAGAACTGCATCAAATGCTTTAACAGCACAGTGCATCAGGTAAAACCATGTTAAACAAAAGAGAAAACAGTCCTATATGTAGAAACAAATGAAGGAGGATCTTATGGATTTGCATAGCTTTTAACCTGACTAAATGGACTACTGGTCTTCTCAGTCTGACTGCAGACAAAACAATTGGGATTCCTGAGAGCAGTGGGGTTCAAGGTTGTGACTGGTCTATACTGGGCTGGCAGCATGAGTCACTCTTTGTATTGATGTGTTATCATTGATCTGGCTACCAGCCTCCTCCTCCTCCTCTATACTGGTACACATACAACTAGGTGCTATACAGTATCTCTCCACACCTATAGATCTGACACTAGCACTCTAGCACCTAAACTCGGTCTCCTCCATATCCTTTACTATTTCCTACAGAATATACATGTCTGTTGTTTGTTTGTTTATGCAAGGGGTTAAATGTCTTCCCAGGAGCATATGACCCTTGTGTCCAATGATACTGGAGACCACTCATTAAGCACAAGTCAGAGCCAGTTAGAGTGCCACCACACTGAAATCTCATTACCTGGATACATGTATGATGGCATCACATCCCATCCCCATTTCATTATTCTGACACCAGACTTAACTGTGGTATGACAACCCACCCCTATTACATTATTCTGACACCAGACTTAACTGTGACATGACAACCTACCCCTATTACATTATTCTGACACCAGACTTAACTGTGACATGACAACCCACCGCTATTACATTATTCTGACACCAGACTTAACTGTGACATGACATCCCACCCCAGATTTTTAACTGTGGCATGACCTCCAACCATGTTGCATTTTTCTGACACCAGACAAATATATATAACAGAGGGAACCTTGATGGAGACAAACCAGACAACTGCCCTTACACGTGTTGAAACTGCAGCAGGTTCCATATTTATATACTAATTGAGCATTCTGATCATTTGGTCATTAATGTCCCTAACCTACAGCAGACTACATGTAACAACATCAGGTGAACATAAACCTATAAATCAACCTATGACTGATCTGTCTGGTAAGGGTTTCTGATTATAAATCATTTCTATTCGATTACCAAAACCAATCTACTCCTGAATCATTCATTGCTACCTGATACAACTGATTTCAGAATTAACTGTTCTAAATGTTATGTATAATGATGGTCCATATCATAAATATATCATACTCATAGTAATATATAGTGTTCTTCGGGGTTTTCTTCATGAATAATTTACATTATGCAGCTACACATGTATTGGACAATTAACGTGATCTTAAAATGTAAATTCAAGTGCCGAGTCTTCATTGCCTCGATAGAGAGTCGATATGACAGTGATTGTTTTTTCATATTTATGACATCATTCAATATTGTTTGCCCTGGAGATTTTAACTGTAATAAAACTGCCATTTCATAAAAATAAAAATCTGAAAGACAAAGTTCATGTTTATATTCAATCTTGTTCCATCTTATACTAAAATAAACTTATACACATACACTATGTATTTAGGGAGATCTGTCCCACTTCCTTGTGGTATTCCATATACACAGTAACCTCCCTTTAATTTCATGTTTGATACAATTGTAGCACAGTTCTGCCAGGACACTACTGTGAACCAGGCAGCTCCCTCAGTTAGGGGGCATCTTTTATACAAGTTTGCAAGGCTTGGTTTTCTTTTCAGACGTGATTTCTCAAACCTATAGTCATGCCAGAAAAAATAGTTTCCAATGAGTATAGCTACAATTTTTGGCAGTGGTACAGGGGTCCTTAAAGAATTTATAAGCACTGTATTCCTGTAATCGCTGTTTTAAATATATTAATGTTTTCCATGTTTTTTCAAATGTTATTTACCATATATGTAATAAAAATGTACACATCATAGTTTCAGTAAGACAGAGTTTAGAAAAATTACTGGAATAATTTATGTCACAATTATGAACAACTTGGAAGTAACTTGCTATTGTCGACAGACCCAGGGAGAGTGGCTTCAAAACCAGAACTCCTGGAGTTGCAATAGGAATCTGGATACTGTACACAATGAACTCATTAAACTTGATACAGAAGACTGAGGATGTCTACAGATGTTTTCCAGTTGGCAAAAACCAAATGTCACAATGAGCCATCCAGCTTGCTAAGTTATCGCTTAAGGAAGGATTTTTCCCTTACCTCATAAGTAGAGTGCAAGACCATGAATACTGAAGAATCCTATACTTCTCATGTCGTCCTCCCCTGTAGGTTCAGGGGGAGGTAACTCAACAAATCATAGGTTTTACTGTGGCCTCTGATAATGGTGACACAAAACAAGACAAAAATGATGTGCTGTCCCTAGTGTAAATGTTGGAACCTCTGGCATTCCTCTCAAATATTTCTTTCGGTTACATTTTTGTCTCTCCACACCCCAGACACCAGTCATTAGCTTAGCCTATGGTCAGGAGAATGTGACTGGGTAATATGTCATGCTAGCATATCCAGGATAATGACATTTGGTAAGGTGGCATTTCGAAATGGCTCATCATGGACCGACCATCAGTGCATGCAGACAGACTTCTTCGAGGAAACCCAAAATAAACAAATGTGACCACATTACTCGTATAACACCAAAAGGAAAAGGTAAATATATGAGCCAAGCACACACAATGGTTTGACAAATAACACTTCAAACTAATCTCTTCTATATTTGTGGTCGAGTAGTACAGTGGATAGCGCACTTGCCTTTCACCAAGGCAGCCGGAGTTCGATTCCCTGATCGGAGGTGAAAAGGTTGGGGTCACCTGCCCGACCACATGGGTTTTCTCCAGGTACTCCGGTTTCCTCCCAGACTAAGACCCCCCACGCGCTAACATCAGGGCCAACAAGAGTGATTAATATAAGTTTAAATAACTTGTTTCATAATTGTTGTAAAATAAATAAAGTTTATATTTCTTATTTGTTTATAATGCCAATGTTCTATTTTGTACTATATATTACATAATAAGTGGAAGGCAGAAAGCAAAGAATCAGGAGCACAATACTTCAGTCTTGTTGTAGTAAAGTTGGCAGGAGATTTTTTTTTCTTTCTACAACGAGTCACTACTTTGAAGTTCGAACCCATACCATTTGTGTGAAAGGTGAAACTGTTATCCACTGGCCAAATCTGTCCAGAATTGGAAACCTGGGACCTCACAATTCTAGATAGATGTTCCAACAAACTGATGTGGTTATCTGAGCACCTGCAATCGCTCCAGCCCTGAGCTCCGACACCCAACACACTTATCTTTTTATTTCTGTAACGGCGGTCATTTTTTCTGCAACACCTCTGCTAGGAGTCAAACCCGGGACTTCTGGCTTTCTAGTCTTGTGCAAATGAGCTTCAAAGAATTCTCCCTAGTCGAGTCTGTAGGAAGTGGCTAGTATTTTACCAGGGTGACATTTCTCTCCCATTGGACAAGAGGTTTTACACTTCTGGCTGGGAAAGATTTTTTATGTATCACGATGTAAGTACAAGCAGATTTTTGTTTAGCAAAGTTGTTTTCAGGCAACCTCAAGACAGTTATTCATGTGATAAGGGCATTGTACCTCATGATCATAGTATGATTTATTTGATTTTGTTGAAAGAATGATGTCCTTTTATGTTCCTAAAGTTTAAAAAACTTTTTATGAGTTTTCATTTCACTTTTTTCCCTATTTCATAAAATAAATATTAACAGTAACTGCTACCCAAATGCAGGATTATTTATTACCTAGATATAGATATATGGGGGGTTGAACAGCGTTTGTGATAACTTTACAAGTTCATGTGTTGGATATATTATTTGTTTGACGTCTTAAGATAAACACTTAACAAAGCACACATACGATGACTTGCATATGTCGAAAGTCAATTTACTTGTCAGGTCTATGTAAAGAGTTGCAATGATGTCACCGTCAGAACAAAGATGCATGAATCATTTGTTGTTCTTACACTGTACATACAATTAGTCACACACAAAACCAGTCGAGCGTATAATCTAACATGGAAATGTATTACTTAACAGTCCATATCTAATGTGATATCATCAAATAGATTATATGATATAACCCGGAAAAGGAAGAGCATGGTTTTGTTTATATTTCTGATGATTAAAAACGTACCGGTGAATAGGATCACTGTCCAATACACACACGCAAGTACACATTTTCGGCAGTCGTTTTTCATTGAATATGAATATATCTGTCCTTTTCTAAAGTATGAACTATTTCAAAACGAACATACTTACACCCTGTGTTAATGTCCAGATCCTTATCCTAGTAAGAAGCCATCGGTAATCGCATTAAAATACTGACATTTCACCCATAAACTTCGAAGATGGATTCCAAATCTCGTTGTGTTCTCGCCCAGCGCGCACCTGTTCGAGATGTAGGAGGCCTGGGGGTATGACTAATATTACACACAAAACTGCATGTTGTCCTGTAGTGTTTGCCTAAGTCAATCCCTTCTATTTTGACCTCATATTATTATCATATATCCTGTTTGAATTTATGTAAATCATATCAAAAATTATTTTAGGATTGGCTGATCGATGTAACTTCCGCTACAAAGCCTTTCAAAAGGACTTTTTCAACTATTATATCATTTCGAATATGTGTCATACTTTGCAACCAAATTTTCAGATAATATACTTCAATCATACACGCACATTCAATTTTGAGTTTGAATATCATTGGACATATATGAAGTTATTCTGTGTTAAGGTGATACCGAGACAGTAGTATTTATACTTCTGTAGGTGCCAATTAAGACCCTTCAATTTACCGTGTCCTGCTGTAACGAACGTTTACCAATGTTTACGAAAGTGAATTATAAACCATCGGCTGAAAGACTTAAACCTAAAATCACGTACTTGAAAAAAATATGAGTAATAGTTGACGTTCAAAACTTGCCGCCGTTCAATACAATACACGAACAAAACGGTAACATTTAATTGGCAGTTTTGCTTTGAATTTTTTATTTGTAATGTTTAAACTGTATGTTGATGAAATGAATAAAATTTTGATTTCCATTAAAAAAGCAATTTTATATTCAAACAGCGAAGAAAAAGAGTCAAAACCGGGTTTAAAATAAAAGTTCGATCTGATCGGATACATTTTATAAGCAAAGTGTAGCAAAGTGTAGTACACAAACACTACGTACGTACCTCTTACGAATTGTTCCAATTAATATTTGACAAGAAAAGGTATAAAGTGGAAAAGTTTTATTTAAGTTCTTTTAGAAGATCTATCCTTAAGTAAATGATGCTCAACATTTGTTAGTACTTCACAGTCTACTAAGTTACATTTTATTTCACTTTTGGAGTATAGTCATCTTCGCTAGTCAAGGGTTACGATCAAGACCGGATCGTACCGGATCGTAGCCATTGGCTAGCGGAGATGGAGTATATACGTCTCTGGTATTGTGTTTTAAAACGACTATAATCGTGTGTTGATGGGACTAAGAATGGGGATTACACGTTTGGGTTATGGCTTGGTTAAGCAACTTGTGTTTTTGTTACCATTTAGGATTCAAGTTGCTATTTTTTTATTAAATGATACATACCTGATAGTTTAAACCCTCTCTGAAAGTGAATCCAATTCTCCAGGCTCTCGTGATGTTGTAAGAGTCTCTGTAATTGATACTTTGGGACCCTTCATGAAAAGTCTCGTAGCTTTGCACTACTTCGTGTTCAGGTAAATGATATATAATAGCTGCTGAAGACGAGTGTATGCGGTATCTTTAATTTCGTTAAAGCGGATAAAAGTAGTGCTCGGAATCTTTGTTGCACAAAAAAAACCAATACGTCATCACTTTAAGGTTCAACAAGCCCCTAAAGATTGTTATCATCACACGTATATTGTTTGTAAATCTTGGTCACCTTTTCTTCGTTTTCTCGTTCATATTCTGCTAACACACATACTGGGGAATTTTGATATAATTTTAGTGGTTTCGCATGGCAACATCCATCTTAATAGGTGACCGACATACTTCCCTACTACTAGTAAAAGAAAAAATAAGCTCCGCATGAATGAACTTAAGATAATACGTCATTCTGTATCAATCAGTTGGGTTACAATGTACAATGTCGTTGAACTATTTTTATTTAAACATCATCCTTAATGCCTCGTTGACAAACTTATCGCTGACGTGTTCACGTAGGTTGCGTACATAACTATTATTTGTAAAGATGACGTTAGACGATCTGTCGTCAGCTCGTCTACTACGAACTTGTAAGGTAGGTTGAATTAACAATATAGTTCGTTTTTGACATACAATGTTTTGTTCAACCTATAGTTGTGGAGTCTGTATTAGATGTCCCATACAGCTAAAGCATTTGGTAAGGATATCAAACGTAATTTACTCCCGATTTACCCATCATCTGACAATGGTTTACTTAATAACCATACACAAGTTGTGTCATGGACTTAGTGTACAATAACTCTGTTGTAAACGCGTTGAAACCGAAAGTTTGCAAATAAACTGTAACATTATTAAGTCTTTCGCACGCGCTCTTCCCCTGCTATCTATTTTTCATAACACTTATCTTGACCTTAAGTACAACTGATCAGTCATATATGGACCAAATAGCCATATGAATTTTCACATCGTTTATTTTTTAAATAGGTGCTTCCTATATATAACATTTCAATTTCGTGTTTTAATTGATTATTTTCTTCAATGTAGCACACGTACGATAATATTTGCCTGCATCTGATCGGTTCTAAATCTTAAATGTAAGTAACGCAAACGATAAGTAATTTTTGAAATTCTCTTTTGTGCCATCCTCTTCATTCAAGTTAGCTGTTTCACTTCATTAGAACCAACATTTTAGTTCATATCAAGTTCAAGTTGTCCGTTAAACTAATACATATATATACTTATTCTTTCATAAATTTTGTTTCTGATTAATTAATAATTATATCATTGTCGTTAAATTAACTACTATACGCCTGTTAACCATAAGCACTCGTTTAAACATGCCCAGGTTATGACATTTCGGTGTTGCTGCACTAAGGTGACCTATCAAATGTGACCATTGTCATCAAATGACCGTAGCTGTTGTACGACACAGTGGACAACGACGTCATATACCTTATGTCGAGCCAACTTCACCAGTAGACAACGACATCATATAGCTTATGGCCAGCTAACTTCATCAGTGGACAACGACATCATATACCCTATGTCCAGCCAACTTCATCATTGGACAACGACATCAGATAGGTTATGTCCAGCCAACTTCATCAGTAAACAACGACATCATATAGCTTATGGCCAGCCAGCTTCACCAGTAGACAACGACATCAAATAGCTTATGGCCAGCCAACTTCACCAGTAGACAACGACATCAACAACATCATATAGCTTATGTCCAGCCATCTTCATCATTAGACAACGACATCATATAGCTTATGTGCAGCCAACTTCATCAGTAGACAACGACATCCTATAGCTTATGGCCAGCCAACTTCACCAGTGGACAACTACATCATATAGCTTATGTCCAGCCAACTTCACCAGTAGACAACGACATCAAATAGCTTATGGCCAGCCAACTTCACCAGTGGACAACTACATCATATAGCTTATGTCCAGCCACCTTCACCAGTGGACAACGACATCATATAGGTTATGTCCAGCCAACTTCATCAGTAAACAACGACATCATATAGCTTATGGCCAGCCAACTTTACCCGTAGATAACGACATCAACGACATCATATAACTTATGTTCAGCCAACTTCAGCATTGGACAATGACATCATATAGCTTAGGTCCAGCCAACTTCATCAGTGGACAGCGACATCATATAGCTTATGTCCAGCTAACTTCATCAGTGGACAACGACATCATATACCCTATGTCCAGCCAACTTCATCATTGGACAACGACATCAGATAGGTTATGTCCCGCCAACTTCATCAGTAAACAACGACATCATATAGCTTATGGCCAGCCAGCTTCACCAGTAGACAACGACATCAAATAGCTTATGGCCAGCCAACTTCACCAGTAGACAACGACATCAACGACATCATATAACTTATGTCCAGCCAACTTCATCATTGGACAACGACATCAGATAGGTTATGTCCAGCCAACTTCATCAGTAAACAACGACATCATATAGCTTATGTCCAGCTAACTTCATCAGTGGACAACGACATCATATACCTTATGTCCAGCCAACTTCATCATTGGACAACGACATCAGATAGGTTATGTCCAGCCAACTTCATCAGTAAACAACGACATCATATAGCTTATGTCCAGCTAACTTCATCAGTGGACAACGACATCATATAGCTTATGGCCAGCCAACTTCATCAGTGGACAACGACGTCATATACCTTATGTCCAGCCAACTTCATCATTAGACAACGACATCATATAGCTTATGTCCAGCCAACTTCATCAGTAGACAACGACACCATATAGCTTATGTCCAGCTAACTTCACCAGTAGACAACGACATCATATAGCTTATGTCCAGCCAACTTCATCAGTGGACAACGACATCATATAGCTTATGGCCAGCCAACTTAATCAGTGGACAACGACATCATATAGCTTATGTCCAGCTAACTTCATCAGTGGACAACGACATCATATGGCTTATGTCCAGCCAACTTCACTAGTAGGCAACGACATCATATAGCTTATGTCCAGCCAACTTAATCAGTGGACAACGACATCATATAGCTTATGTCCAGCTAACTTCATCAGTGGACAACGACATCATATAGCTTATGTCCAGCCATCTTCATCAGTGGACAACGACATCATATAGTTTATGTCCAGCCAACTTCATCAGTAGACAACGACATCATATAGCTTATGGCCAGCCAACTTCATCAGTGGACAACGACATAATATAGCTTATGTCCAGCCAACTTCATCAGTGGACAACGACATCATATAGTTTATGTCCAGCCTACTTCACCAGTAGACAACGACATCAACGACATCACATAGCTTATGTCCAGCCAACTTCACCAGTGGACAACGACATCATATAGCTTATGTCCAGCAAACTTAATCAGTGGACAACGACATCATATACCTTATGTCCAGCCAACTTCATCAGTGGACAACGACATCATATGGCTTATGTCCAGCCAACTTCACCAGTAGACAACGGCATGATATAGCTTATGTCCAGCCAACTTCATCAGTGGACAACGCCATCATATAGTTTATGTCCAGCCTACTTCGCCAGTAGACGACGACATCAACGACATCACATAGCTTATGTCCAGTCAACTTCACCAGTGGACAACGACATCATATAGCTTATGGCCAGCCAACTTCATCAGTGAACACCGGCATCATATAGCTTATGTCCAGCCAACTTCACCAGTAGACAACGGCATGATATAGCTTATGTCCAGCCAACTTCATCATTGGACAACGACATCATATAGCTCATGTCCAGCCAACTTCATTAGTAAACAACGACATCATATAGCTTATGTCCAGCTAACTTCATCAGTGGCCAACGACATCATATAGCTTATGTCCAGCCAGCTTCACCAGCAGACAACGACATCATATAGCTTATGTCCAGACAACTTCATCAGTGGACAACAGCATCATATAGTTTATGTCCAGCCAACTTCATCAGTGGACAACAGCATCATATAGTTTATGTCCAGCCAACTTCATCAGTAGACACGACATCATATAGTTTGTGTCCAGCCAACTTCATCAGTGGACAACGAGATCATATAGCTTATGGCCAGCCAACTTCATCAGTGGACAACTACATCATATAGCTTATGTCCAGCCAACTTCATCAGTGGACAATGGCATCATATAGCTTATGTCCAGCCAACTTCATCAGTGGACAACAGCATCATATAGCTTATGTCCAGCCAACTTCATCAGTAGACACGACATCATATAGTTTATGTCCAGCCAACTTCATCAGTGGACAACGACATCATATAGCTTATGTCCAGCCAACTTCATCATTAGACAACGACATCATATAGCTTATGGCCAGCCAACTTCATCAGTAGACAACGACATCATATAGCTTATGTCCAGTCAACTTCATCAGTAGACAATGACATCATATAGCTTATGTCCAGCCAACTTCACCAGTGGACAACGACATCATATAGCTTATGTCCAGCCAACTGCATCAGTAGACAACGACATCATATAGCTTATGGCCAGCCAACTTCATCAGTAGACAACGACGTCATATAGCTTATGTCCAGCCAACTTCATCAGTAGACAACGACATCATATAGCTTATGGCCAGCCAACTTCATCAGTAGACAACGACGTCATATACCTTATGTCCAGCCAACTTCATCAGTAGACAACGACGTCATATACCTTATGTCCAGCCAACTTCATCAGTAGACAACGACGTCATATAGCTTATGTCCAGACAACTTCATCAGTAGACAACGACATCATATAGCTTATGTCAAGCCAACTTCATCAGTAGACAACGTCATCATATAGCTTATGCCCAGCCAACTTCATCATTGGATGCGTACACATGAACCCTAGAACAAATCTTTATACAGAAGTCAAACAGTTAGTTTTACTTATTATTAAAGTAAAAAGGATTTACAGTTATCAAGGTAATATTAATGCCTGTGGTTCGAGTCACTATAAGCTTTTATATAATGTAACTCCAACTTGAGAGAATATCATCCCAAATCCATGTTACATTTAGACTTATTGTTTTGTTCTCGATTGTATGGGTGAGCGAATGTGTTGATTTTAAAACAGCTTACTGTACTGGGTCGTTGACTTACTTTGTTTTTTATTTCCGTCAATAATGACCAGGTAACGTTAGGTAGCCGTTAGGAATGTTTTAGTCGTACTGACTTTATGTGGGAAGTTACATTCCCCGTGCTGATAGGGTGACAACCAAGGGCAACAGGACCGCTCCCGCGTGTCAGGGAGGGGCTGGAGGGGTCACCTTAGGTGAGGCTTACTCCGTTCCAAATTTATAAATATAGATCATTCAGGTAAAGCAAGACGATATTAATATGCTGAATATTTTTAATAAATGAAAAATAAACCAATAAAAGAAATATTTTTGTAAGTGAATCTATATGTTACGATACTTTGTAGATTACAGATTACAAATTGTATATTATGTGAATATTCATAAAACAGACGGTTATTTTGGAAATAGTGATGTAATACGTGTTGGCAATCTATATAGGCTAAGTGTGAAATTTCTTATTCATGAAACGATACCTTTGTTACGACGAGGCAACGATAAATATAACTTTAGTCACCATTTTTAAGCAGGCAAAGAAAAATAAATAAATTACTAAACAATTACATGTTCGGTAAATGTTTTGTAACCATAATATAGAGTGTTGATCTTGTTTGATTACTGTAAGGGTGTACAGTGTGGGGCTAGATCAACCTTAGTTTGACTTCAACGTTTTCATCTCGCATTGTTTAATCTTCAACATTTTGAGGTCAATCGCCCGTACGATTTCCACATTTTTTAGCCATGGCGCCCCTCGTCACCCTTGGAGTCTGCTTACAATTACGTATGAGATTTTTGTGTGGTGTGGACCGTGTTCACGGGGACGACGATCAGTGTGTGCTGGGCCATACAACCCCCTGCAGACCGTCTTATGCGCACAGCCATCAATGCAGTAGCTGCACTATTAAATACTCTGTGTCTTTGAATCTTCAAAAGGAAATTATCCAAATTTATTCAAGAACGACGTTGCTTTGTGTGAATGCAATTTTACAAAGAAGTACTGGAATTTTTACGTACAGAGGACATTTATTGCCTTTCTACGAGGACAATTATAATATTGGAAGCGACTTTCCCTATGTTTGAATGAAATAGACATTTTTTGCCAGTATAATTTCTTAACTGAAGGAACATCTGTGACTGTGAACTATTGTAAAGATAAACTTCCTTGTGATAATCTTAAACAAATGAGATAGGTAACAGCAAGAAGAAATTTGTCAGAAGTTTGGCGGAGATCCAGAACAGGACAGTCCAGTGACAAAACGTTGAGCAGTACCAAGCATGGAATATTACGACGAACGTCAGGAAACCATCAAGAACGAGAACAGACGTGCGAGTATCATGATGGAACGACAAGCACATCACGGAGTAGTAGTGAATCAGCCACGCCAGTCCATCGTGTCCATGTCCAGCACGGGCACGTCCCAGCCCCCGGGGGGCGGGATGGGCATGATGGGCGCCATGATGGGTGGGGGAGGGGCCGGAGGGGCGGACCCTATGATGGATATGATGAGACTCATTAGGGCCAAAAAGGTAGGACAAAGACTTCGCCGGAAGTCCGTCAATCCAAAACTTGACCCTCCTCCTGGACTGGAGGGAATCAACGACAAGGGCTTCGTTTATGTCCGACAACAGCTGGACATGGACCTCAAAGGTACTTATTGACCAAACGCACTTAGTACCTAGTATGCACATACATGTTGGATAACGAACACGTGTTTTGTCCTCTGCAACGGTAAAAACAAATCTTATACTTAAATTAAATTGCATTCCTACTGTCTACATCTATCCTGTAAAATTGGGACGGGTGTCTTCGTTTCTGTAAAGAATGCAGTAGACGTCCGCACGGTTTACTTGTTAAGAGCCTAAAGATGTGGATGAAGTTAAGTTCAAGTTCAAGTTCTTTATTACTTTAAGTCGGTTGACTTATCAGTCATAACATATATACAAAACAATACAGAGACAACATACAATATGATACACACACACATACACACACACACACACACACACACACACACACACACACACACACA